TATATTTATGGAGGAAAGGGCCCACAAAGGGAAAAGTGTCTAGGGCCCACAAAAGTCATAATGCGGCCCTGGTTGCCCCTGAAGCCCACTGAAACTCTTTCTTGTTTACTTCCTGTCATATTGTCACTTCATTACCTTTATATTGTATTGCAGGTCAACTGTATCTTGGAGGCGTTTGGACATGCTAAAACAACCCTGAATGATTTGTCTAGCCGTTTTATAAAATATTTTGAGCTGCAGTTCTGTGAGAAGAAAAAAATATTAACCGGAGGTAAGTATTAGTTATATTATGGTTGCATCCAGAGGCCTACTGAATCTGAGTCCAATTATGGTAGGCATAAGGGTTTATGTAAGTTGGGTGCTTGGGTGGCCACCCAGGAGAGACTGAATACCACCCAGCTGATTAGCAGAGTGCCCACAGCCTTCCATAGCTGGCAGTATGTGTTTCTACTGCTGATGCGCATCCACATATGATTCGGTGCACATGATTTTTTTTTCACACATGATGGAAAATATTAGACGGAACATTGGTAAACATGACGAGGAGTCCTGTGGCACCTTATAGACTAACTGAAGTGTAGGAGCATAAGCTTTCGTGGGCAAAGACCCACTTCGTCAGATGCATGTAGTGGAAATTTCAACTACATGCATCTGACGAAGTGGGTCTTTGCCCACGAAAGCTTATGCTCCTACACTTCAGTTAGTCTATAAGGTGCCACAGGACTCCTCGTCGCTTTTGCAGATTCAGACTAACACGGCTACCCTTCTGATAATTGGTAAACATGTAGAAAATGATGGTCCTGGACCCAAAGAGCTAATTCTCCAAAGAATGAAATGAGACCAGTAGGTCGTGGTATAAGGCAGGGAAGACAAAATCATAAACATAATAGCATTTGTGTCATTCTTAGCCAATAGTACCAGGAATTCAAAGTACACAGTTAAAAAGAAGTTATTTGTTCTGTTTAACCACTAGAGGGCAGACAAACACTACGGAAAAATGTGGACTACCTCATATATTTTTCTGTACTTAGTGATTTTTTTAAAATGATGAATGTTACTCTTCTAATGAAATTAAAAATAAATAAAGGGTCACTAATGTAGCTTTCAGAACTGCACTAGTAATTAGGGTTACAGTAAGTATTTTAATATCTCCTAAAGAGTTTTAGACCAGAAAAATGTTAAATATTTGTGAAGAAGTGTGAGCCACAGAGAACATCATAGCCTAAACTTTATCCTGGTATCCTTTGTGGGGCTCCCACTGAGTACATTTAGCACAGCATTGATTCTTTTACTGGCAGAAATTGGCTCCATGAATTTACTTTGATAATGTTAACGTTACTTTCAACTTTGAAAATTAATATTGAATTATAAATCACAATTCCAACATTAGGGATTCGATTTAGACTTAGGACATAAGGAAAGTAAGAACCCACTCATCCTCTTACAGGTTCCTGGACTGTTTGTCTGGGTGCATACGAATAAATTGAAGCTTTCCAATTCCCCTCAAGAGCTGGTTAGTGTGAAGGATGGACAATGAACATAACTTTGCAACCCACTCAGTATATTGGCCAAACTAGGTAGGGTATCAAGGGTGGGTTGTAATTTGTTGGCAATACAGTCATCAGTAAATTACTTATGTACTTATGTACTAGGTAAGAATGGAAGGAAGGCACAATTCCCTGAACTGCTTTTGGAGTGGCACAGCAATTTGTAAATTAGCTTCTGGATAAATTATATTGAATTATCCTCAACTTTCCAAAGTAATCAATTTTTATAAGGGCTGACTTATACATTAGGCACAGTAGGCACAGTGCCTAGGGCCCACGATACTTTTAGGGTCGAAAAAAATGTTTTAATTTTTTTCTCACATCAGAAAAAAATGAAACTTTTGCCTAAAACAGAAAAAAAAATGTTGAAGTATTTAAAGTTATATCAAAAATAATTTTTAATTTTTTTTTATGGAGGAAGGGGCCCATGAAGGCAAACAGGGCTAAATGCAGCAGGTTTGTAAACAAAACTTAAAATGATATTGGGTCACAACTGGCAAGATTGTAGGTTGTTTAGAAACACCAATGAAAGATGTTTTGTTGAGAGGTCTGGATCAAGACAGTTTATCATTGAAGATGCACACTGATGTGCAACAAGAACTGAGAATACTTGACAAAATAATAGTCAATAATTCAAAGTGTATATTTATGGAGGAAAGGGCCCACAAAGGGAAAAGTGTCTAGGGCCCACAAAAGTCATAATGCGGCCCTGGTTGCCCCTGAAGCCCACTGAAACTCTTTCTTGTTTACTTCCTGTCATATTGTCACTTCATTACCTTTATATTGTATTGCAGGTCAACTGTATCTTGGAGGCGTTTGGACATGCTAAAACAACCCTGAATGATTTGTCTAGCCGTTTTATAAAATATTTTGAGCTGCAGTTCTGTGAGAAGAAAAAAATATTAACCGGAGGTAAGTATTAGTTATATTATGGTTGCATCCAGAGGCCTACTGAATCTGAGTCCAATTATGGTAGGCATAAGGGTTTATGTAAGTTGGGTGCTTGGGTGGCCACCCAGGAGAGACTGAATACCACCCAGCTGATTAGCAGAGTGCCCACAGCCTTCCATAGCTGGCAGTATGTGTTTCTACTGCTGATGCGCATCCACATATGATTCGGTGCACATGATTTTTTTTTCACACATGATGGAAAATATTAGACGGAACATTGGTAAACATGACGAGGAGTCCTGTGGCACCTTATAGACTAACTGAAGTGTAGGAGCATAAGCTTTCGTGGGCAAAGACCCACTTCGTCAGATGCATGTAGTGGAAATTTCCAGAGGCAGGAATAAATATGCAGGCCAGGATCAGGCTGGAGATGACCAGGTGGATCCAATCAAGGAGGATGAGGCCCACTTCTAGCAGCTGATCTGGAGGTGTAAATTCCAAGAGAATAGAAGCTGCTTTTGTAGTTAGCAAGCCATTCACAGTCTTTGTTTAATCCAGAGTTGATTGTGTCAAACTTAAAGATGAACTGTAGCTCAGCAGTTTCTCTTTGAAGTCTGGTCCTGAAGTTTTTTTGCTGCAGGATAGCTACTTTTAGATCTGCAATTGTGTGTCCAGGAAGATTGAAGTGTTCCCCTACAGGTTTTTGTATGTTGCCATTCCTAATATCAGATTTGTGTCCATTGATTCTTTTACGTAGGGACTGTCCTGTTTGGCCGATGTATATAGCAGTGGGGCATTGTTGGCACATGATGGCATATATTACGTTGGTGGATGTGCAGGAGAATGTACCAGTGACAGTATGGCTGATCTGGTTAGGTCCTGTGATGGTGTTGCTGGTGTATATATGTGGGCAGAGTTGGCACCGAGGTTTGTTGCAAGGATTGGTTCCTGAGTTCGAGTTATTATGGTGCGGTGTGTAGTTGCTGGGGCTTCATGCAAATGAAGCCCGGGAAATTCAAATCCCGGGCTTCATTTGCAACTGCGGATGACTACATTACCCCCGCTAGTTCGAACTAGTGGGGTAGTGTAGACATACCCTTATATAACTGTAGTTCGGTTAATTTCACTGGTTGGGATAATATAGTGCTGAATCAGGTCCATTAACATACAGACATGTAATTTACACCTGGTTACACATCAGCTATGAATTTGGACCAATTAATCTTATTGAGACTGAGGCGCGTTCAAGAGGCAATCATTTATATGCCAAGGAGCCGGAAGGGATGTAGCAGGAAAATTGGCTAACACGTTTTTGTTCATATTTGTAGGTTGAAATAGGCCAGCCCTACTGCATTTTTTTCAGTGACCTAGACCTGATTACACCACTTTTAAGAAGAGGATCAAATCCACTGTATTGTGCTGTAGATTAAAACTGACTTGGTGATGTTGTGTGTCTCTATGGAAGAGCACTTGCAGCAATATTTACTGTCTCTTGCACTGTTTAAACATGAATGAACAGTGTAAATATAAAAAGCACCAGATTCTCTTGTAATGTGACTTTATAACTGACATTTATGCAAACAGGGCTAAATGCAGCAGGTTTGTAAACAAAACTTAAAATGATATTGGGTCACAACTGGCAAGATTGTAGGTTGTTTAGAAACACCAATGAAAGATGTTTTGTTGAGAGGTCTGGATCAAGACAATTTATCATTGAAGATGCACACTGATGTGCAACAAGAACTGAGAATACTTGACAAAATAATAGTCAATAATTCAAAGTGAAGGAAGTGAGTAAGAGCCTCTAAAGTAATATTCAGCCTTATTGTAGTTTATCTCAAGTGCGCCAACATGTGAGACAAGACCTAAATATTGGAGAGCCTCCAATAACCATTTCTCAGTGGCCAGCCCACACTGAGCTGAGCTTTTCGCTTACTAACACAGCCATTGGAGCATGCCCAGCACAGTCTGAGAGGTGGGATTTCCTCCACTCAAAGCATGGTTTAAACCCTTTCTTGCCTAGTGCAGGGTATGCACAACTAGTCACACTAGGTCATAGCCAAACCAGGATCTGTTTGTGGCCATAGTTTAAAGTAGGAACACTGCTGAGTTAATTGTGGAAATGGAATTAAACCCAGAAGGGCAAAAAACAATTTTAGTTATAAGTGATCCTAAAGGTGAGGAACTTTTTCTGTCTGAGATTAGTTTACCTGGGAAAGGGCTTGGATTGTGTGACCTGGCTAGAAGGCCAAAGCAGACACAAGACCTGCATAGGCTGACTGAGCCTGCAGGGGGCACCAGGAAGATGAAGAAGATTGCAGCCCATCTTCAAACACTGGGGAAGGAGGCACACAAAAAAGTGAGCACCCCTGCCACATGACAACATGCTATTTTTTCCCACAAGACAAAGAATGGAGACACTCACTGATAAACAGCTATTATATATTTTGTTTTAGCCTTGTTGTTTAATGTGTGGTTCCATGCATTAAATGTACTGCATAGTCTTCAAACTTTGCTTTGAAGACATAATTATTATTTCCTCTTGGATTTTCCTGTTGGACTCCTCACTACAGTATCTGTTCGCTTCATAAACATTAATGAATTTATTTTCACAATACCCTCATGAGATGAGGGTTATTATTATCACCATTTTGCAGATGGGGAATGAAACAATTGAGACATTAAGATCAAAAGTTTCTACTAAGTTTGAGATGCCTGGGACCTATTCCCCCCTTCCCTGAATTCACATTCTTAGCTGACTGATCATGGGCCCCACACCGGACCAGCTTTCTCATCCATGAATTACATGCAGCCAAACTCCCTTAGGGTATGTCTACACTATCCCGCTAGTTCGAACTAGCGGGGGTAATGTAGTCATCCGCAGTTGCAAATGAAGCCCGGGATTTGAATTTCCCGGACTTCATTTGCATGAAGCCGGCCGGCGCACATTCTTAGCTGACTGATCATGGGCCCCACACCGGACCAGCTTTCTCATCCATGAATTACATGCAGCCAAACTCCCTTAGGGTATGTCTACACTATCCCGCTAGTTCGAACTAGCGGGGGTAATGTAGTCATCCGCAGTTGCAAATGAAGCCCGGGATTTGAATTTCCCGGACTTCATTTGCATGAAGCCGGCCGGCGCCATGGCTTCATGCAAATGAAGCCCGGGAAATTCAAATCCCGGGCTTCATTTGCAACTGCGGATGACTACATTACCCCCGCTAGTTCGAACTAGTGGGGTAGTGTAGACATACCCTTATATAACTGTAGTTCGGTTAATTTCACTGGTTGGGATAATATAGTGCTGAATCAGGTCCATTAACATACAGACATGTAATTTACACCTGGTTACACATCAGCTATGAATTTGGACCAATTAATCTTATTGAGACTGAGGCGCGTTCAAGAGGCAATCATTTATATGCCAAGGAGCCGGAAGGGATGTAGCAGGAAAATTGGCTAACACGTTTTTGTTCATATTTGTAGGTTGAAATAGGCCAGCCCTACTGCATTTTTTTCAGTGACCTAGACCTGATTACACCACTTTTAAGAAGAGGATCAAATCCACTGTATTGTGCTGTAGATTAAAACTGACTTGGTGATGTTGTGTGTCTCTATGGAAGAGCACTTGCAGCAATATTTACTGTCTCTTGCACTGTTTAAACATGAATGAACAGTGTAAATATAAAAAGCACCAGATTCTCTTGTAATGTGACTTTATAACTGACATTTATGCAAACAGGGCTAAATGCAGCAGGTTTGTAAACAAAACTTAAAATGATATTGGGTCACAACTGGCAAGATTGTAGGTTGTTTAGAAACACCAATGAAAGATGTTTTGTTGAGAGGTCTGGATCAAGACAGTTTATCATTGAAGATGCACACTGATGTGCAACAAGAACTGAGAATACTTGACAAAATAATAGTCAATAATTCAAAGTGAAGGAAGTGAGTAAGAGCCTCTAAAGTAATATTCAGCCTTATTGTAGTTTATCTCAAGTGCTCCTACGTGTGAGACAAGACCTAAATTTTACATCAGATAGTAACATCTCTTGTCCATTTTGAGTCTTTTGGATAGTGGGCATTGAATGTGTTTATGGGAAATGTATAGCTCAGTTTGTCTGCTTAGTTCAGTTATGCTTTATCCAACAGAAACATGATTAATGTACTTTTTTCCTGCAACATCTGCTCTGCAGCCAAGAGAGTGGGAGACAGTGGGGGAGGGGGGACACATCCCAGGATCAGCATAATGGTTTTACAGACATATCCCTTTCTTCCAGCCTTGATCCCTTTTTCCACTACACCAACAACAAGTGAGATGATGACATATTGGCTCTATTTATCATACAGGCTGCATGACACCAGTGGGTTCATCCTTTGTGAGATGATTAAAATGGCTTTAGGGACAGATTATGTCTCATATGGGGCACCAAGCAGCCATACAGCCCTAATGTATCTGTCCCAACCTCTTTACTTATGGGAAAAAATGGTGATAATGATTTTGGTTGCTAGTGGCAGAGTTGGGAATTAAGTCTAAGGCAGGTACTTCCTATGGGATTTTTTTACACTGAAATCCTTGTCATTATAATTTTTATATGTAACTCATGTTGTTTATATATATGAGACACTTTCAGTGTAAATGACTGTAAACTGAAGGGGGGCATTTTCATGAAAGTGCAGTGGCCCAGTTCTCCAGAATAGCTACATACACAGCTTTAAATCTATTACAGTGTTCACTGTGATCAATAGCCTCATGAACTCTCATCTCCATTTACTTTTTCCATGTGCTCACCTACTGCAGCCTAATGGGAGCCCAGCTCCTTGGGAGCTGACATCTCTGTCCATGTTCCTGGATTGAGGCTGGGAGGGAGATGTGGTGTCCAAAAATGCTTTACCTTCCTTCACCTCTCTTTAGAGATTCTTCAAGGATGTCTATCTGGAACTAACTACTCACACACGAGTAAACATAACCAACACACGATTTCTTAAAAACAGGGAGCAAATTGAATGTAAAGTGCTTAATGTAGCTAGGTTTACACTTCCGTAGAACAAAATAAATAGGCATTCTCAGGTTAGGGATAGAGAAGACAGAGAAGTGAATGAACAGTTTACATGTCATTTAAAGCAGTTCCCTCCTCTGACCACTCTTTTGTCAGCCTGTTTGCCGCTCATCTGTTTTATTTAATCCCATCCCTCTGGGTCAGTTTGTATGTCCAGACATGTTTTTCTTGATCCAGGCTGCCCCCATTCCTTCCCATACCAGTCTTGTCCAGTTCTGTCTATGCACAACATGGTCTCTCTTCACTGCCATCCCTTAACAATGTCCATAAATTGTTCTCTAAAGATTCCATAATCCAACCCAAATGCTGTAGTTCACAGAGCAGTCTGCATGCCACTTCCCCCAGCCAGTTTCTGTTTCATCTTTTCTGACTGGTTGGAGTTTTCCTCAGCATAATCCCCACCCCCACGTCTACATTGAACTATAAATTATAGAGAGATCCATATCATCTGTCATAAACACTTTATCAGTAGCTTGTATTTGCTCATAATGCGCTGAAGTTTATGTTGAAACTGGCTGCATACTTTACCAAATATACAGTTCTGATATTATCCCATATACAAAAATGTTTAATTTACAGATAAGTGCATTTTGTTTGAGTGAAAAATGAACAAAGATAAATATCCACTTTTTATTTTAACTTCTGTGTTTTTTGGGGTGGGGGGTGGTTTTTTTCTTATTTCAGGGAAGGTTTCTTTTCTTTTCTTGATTATAGTTTGTTTCTCCATCTTGCAAAATTTTGACTACTGCTTCCCCAATGAGAAAAACCAAATGTATGAGACCACCAATATTACCAATGCTGTTTTGCCATTAACTTTCAATGGTGCCATATATACCCTCTTGGGATTTTACTGATAGTGTTTCTACCTAAATTATATTTAGGTTTGTCTTTCATCTTATACTATTAGATTCTTTTATAAAGTGTGAATGTCCATTTTTTTGTGGTAACTCATGGTTTTTAATTTATGTCAAAAAACAATCCATTAAATGATACACTTGTTTGTTTGTGTTTTAATCAGCAAGGATTTATACATATATGCCGGCGAAGTCTCGTCTTGTCATGCAGCCTCTCAACCAGAACAATTTTCTTGTTTTTTACTTGTTGATGGATGGGCTGTCCGCTGAAGAAAAGTATGGCCTATACCTCAGTAATTTGTCTGCACACAGGTAGGCAATCAGTTTTATGTGTGCTATGAAGCTGACATGGTCTTTTTCCTATTAAATGGCCCAATCCTCAGAGTTGATGAGCACCTTCAACCTCCATTGAACACAAGGTGCTAATTTTGAAATGATGTTTGCTTAAAAATAATGTTCTTTTTCAAGGGATGGATTTCATTCTCAGTGTACAGGCTACCCCTTCACATGAGTTCTAATTCTTTCGGCAAGAGGTTTCTGTGGAGGTCACACCTGTGCCCTTTATTTTTTTTTAAGGGAGCAACTGACAAGAGGTTTCTGTGGAGGCCACACCCGTGCCCTTTATTTTTTTTTAAGGGAGCAACCATTTCTAGACCTGTGTGTCACAGATCAGACCAAGAAATGCTAGTGTTCTGCTTCAGAGCAGCCTTCCGCAAGTGAGCCATGACATATACCTTTCTCATCTCTTGACATGGAAATTGATATATGCCTAACCCTGATCCACATGGTACTAAGAGTCCTGAAGAAACTGAGATAAGATGCAGTATCTATGAATATGAGGATCTCAAAATGGACTAGGTAGTTAGGGTGAAGCTTTCAGTGCAATCTGTGATCATTTGGTCTTCTCTGCTCTCAATAGTCTCAGATAACAGCAGTCAGATCTGACATTCTAAACATCCAACAGTCTGGGTCCTGGCTGGCAAGGGTTCATCAAAAAATGTTCAGAACATTCTCCTCTAAAGCAAGAAAGCTTCAGCTAGACTAAGGGCTTGTCTACATGGCAAGTTGTACAGCAAGCCAAAGTGTGAATCTACAATACACCAGCTTGTGACATAGTAATATTCTCTGTGTAGTTGATACTGCTACACAGCACACTAAATATCCCAGAGTGTAGTAGCAAGCTAGACTATACTCTAAGACAGCCGTGGCCAACCCACGGCTTGTAAGCCACATGCGGCTCTTTCCCCCGCCTCCTGGGAGTGGCTCACGAAGCTCCCCTTTGCTCTCCCCATGGCTCATAAAGCCACCCTCACGCCCCCCAAAATGACCCTCTCCTCCCGGGATGGAGCATTAAAAATGGTATCAGTTGGCGGGAGCCTGATGTGGCCCAAAAGCCTCTTAACGTATTTTCTTAAAGGGGCAGTCCTTTTTTTTTCTTGACAACTTTGCCCCGCTCTTCATGCTGGACCCACTGATATCTTGGCTCTTTGCCCAGAATGGGTTGGCCACCTTTGCTCTAAGACTTTTAGTGCACTGTAGCAGTGTCTGCAGCAAACTGGTGTACTATAGAATCATACCATGTCTTGCCACAACGTAACTTGACTTGCAGAGAATTCAAGCCAAGTGATCATCTCAGCACTAGGTGTACTCAACAACACCCATATTAGAGCCATGCTATATTTTCTCAGCCTGCAGTGGCTAGATTTCTTATATGATTTATTCATGTTTTTTTTTTCTTCCAGTTTGGGTTCCTCTTCTTTTTGGCACCTCAGTGTAGTAGTATTAAAAGGATTGATGTGTACCAGCCTTGAGTCCTTAACAAACTAATTCTCACTACCATCTGTCAATGAAGGCTGACCTTTTAGTAGCCATTACATCATTTCAAAGGGTAAGGGAGGTTCAGGCCCTCATGGCCGTGTCCCTCATATACAGTGTTTCATAGACAGAGAGTCACTCTCAGGCCTCATCTAAGCTCTATGTGAAAGTGGCTTCAGAATTCCATTTGAATCAATTTATTCATCTTCAAGTTTTCTTCCTCAAGTCTCACTCAACTCCAATGAAGCTACACTTGATACTCCTGATGTAGTAAGGACATTGCTATGTTGCCTTAACCGGACAATAACATTCAGGAACATACTTAGACAGTTTATGGCTTTTGTTGATGAAGATAAGGGTCAGGCAGTACCCTCCCTGAGGTTATTGGAATAAGTGTCCCCTGGATAAGAGCTTATCATAAGAAAGCCAAATTAGATCTACTTACCCATAATAGACCTCATTCCACTACAACTCAAGATAGCTTCTGCTGCCTATTTCCCAAATTTATAGGCAGCTACATGGAGCTAAGTCCACACGTTTACAAGACGCAATACTTTGGTAGATGCTTTCAAAGCAGATCCCTTTTTGGTTGTATATGAACTCTACTCACCTCCAAGAAAACAGATAACTGTTTCTTAATCACCAAGTGTGAGACCCATGTAGACAGTCACTTATAGAAGAAAGAATAATGGCTTACCTTATAGTAACTGTAATTCATCAAGATGTGTTGTTTACTGGATTCACAACTCATCCTCCATCTTCATTATTCTGAAGTCCTACTCTTCTGGGATTCTGTATTGGTGAAGATGCTTGGGTAGCTCAACATAGTGACATTTAAAACATAAGCAAAACCCCACTGCTGGTCAGAATAATCTGATCTTGAATGCAAGTGGGACACACATATCAAGTGTGGAATCCATGCAACCAACTTAATTTAAAGAATAACTAACTGTTCCCTTTTTCTCTTAAATTCATCATCTATTTAGAGTTTTAACTAACAGCAAAAAAAAAAGAACAATAATAATTAAAATGATCAGAAATGGGTGCTTTAATTTCTCAATGTTTGAATGTTTCTTTGGCATTTTTTTTGGTCATTGTGAACGGGTCTATAAGGTGCCCCATTGGCACCACATCACCCAGCCCCCTTGGTCCCGTGCTTCCTTCACCTCTTTTTGAACGCCCTCCAGCGTCCGAGTCTGTCTTAACAGCAGTTTGTAGGCCCTCCCCTAGGTTGGGGCTTCGCTGGTCCCCGAGACGGGGCCGGCCTCGTTCCAACCATGGGGAGAGGGAGGTCCGGGCCTGCCCCCTCTCACGGACCCCAGCCCAAGGCCCTAAGGACACGAACGCCTATGCCGTCTGGTCCGGCTGGTGGGGCCACCATAACTCGCCAGCCTGCAGGCTCCCTTTGCCCGCCCTGAGCTACTTCCTCTCTCCGCAGTTAAACATGCCCTTGTCGTCGGGCTCACCTCCTCGCCTTGGGTCCCATCCATCATGGGTCCCCCATGCGGAGCCGCTCTCTCAGCCTCCCTCCTTCGCCTGGCATCTTCTGGGATTTAAATCCCCATGCCGGCTCCCTGTCCGCCACTTCCGATGTGCCCCCGCTTCCGGTCTGTCAGCAGGGCCGAACGCCGATGTCTCTCCACCTGTGCTAGCGCCCGGGCGCCTGGTCAGGGCTTCCTGGGAATAGCTGACGCACTGCCGGTAGGCAGGCATCAGCGCCGCTCAGCCCACAGCCGACAACACGTCCAGTGCCGCTACTCCGCCCCCCACCCCGAGGGCCGCCAGACAAGCGGCCGCCGGCGGGACTGGAGTGCAGGGCACTTCCGCCCCATCACAGTCATCTTATGCATCTTCCATACTGACTGACACTTGAAAAAAACAGCTGTTCTCGATTTTCAGGCCTACAAGGAGTTAATGTAATGACGTAATTACCATTTCTGGTGGGAAAACCTTTATCATCATTGATTTTTAAGCACAGATTCTTATGGTGGTACTGCTTGGTAATATCTTAAGTTCTTTACTCTTTTGGAATTTAAATACATTGGCACAGTTTCAGATATAATAAACTACTGAAGCAAACCTGAGGCTACATTGCTTCTAAAAAGATTATTTCAAAAGGAAAAAAAAAGCAGTTAATATTTTCTTCTAATATTTTTTCTTGTAAACCCTTTGAAGACTTTGAAAACCAAAAAGATTTATTTGCTGAGCTCTAGAGCATTAATTTATTCCTCGTTAACAAAAATGTTTAGAATCACTCAGCTTATTCAGAAAATAGCACATTTTGAAATTACTTTGCAAGGTGTTCCAACAGGAGGGAACTCAGCAAAAATCTGGATAATTAGATTTTCTCTGATAAATATCCAATAGAACAAAGTAATATTTCTAAATAGATACACATTATAACTTCAGTTCCAGAAATAATTTATGGCTTAACATATACATAAACCATTACTTTAGTTATATAGTAGTTTGTATTTTGCACTGTTAAGAAGCATTTTGGTTCATAGTGCTTTCCTTACATATGAGTAGTTCAGTTAGCCAGATTAATCTTGGTTGACAGAATTACACCAGAGATAAATTTGACATCATGAGACTATTTGCATGAGTAAGGCAAGCAGAATTTGGCCCATCATCAACTTCTTTCTGGCTAATACTTTAATGAGATCATATCATTCAGGTTAGAGCAAAGATTGCATCTGTCATGTTTTCTTTAAACAAGTGTAAGTGTAATAGTAATAACAAATTTAATTAGGTAAAACCTCTTTTGAAACTGAATTTTCTTTCATGCCCAGCTGGTGGAAATGGTTTGTGTCTGATTTTGTTCTTTTCTTAAGTTGTTTAAAATTGTAGCCATTAGAGTGAAGACTGAACAGTCTCTAGATTATACCCTGTTTTTTCAAGGTCACTGGCTACACCTTTGCTCCCATTGAGATTGAATCAAGCATATTGAATAGGCAAGGCTTTAAAACAGATCTTCCTTGTTCCTGATTTTCCATAAAAATGACCATTTTTATTTAAAAAAATACAATGTATTATTATTATTATTATTATTATTATTATTATTGGGGGCATGTTTGTTTGTTTGTTTGTTTGTTTGTTTGTTTGTTTGTTTTAAGTTGAACAAAGAGGGAAGAGTCAGGAGTGAAAAGAAATTCTCGAGATGATGTCACTGAGCAATAAAGGATGTTTGAATGGTCTTAACTAGCCATTAACATGCATTTGAATTAGTGTACAGGGATTGTAACTGGATTTTCCAGGCTCTCTGTTGGCTTCGTGTGTTTTAAAAGAACTACAGAAGTTTATTAAGGTTATTTAGGATAATAAATCGTAAATTGTTTAAAGGTTAATTTCAGGTTAAGTTGTCTTGATTTGTGTTTGCTGGTATCGATTAGATTTAGATTTACTAAGGGAGTTATTGTACTGTGAGTCAAAATAAATATATATTAATTATTGTCTGTGTTTCTTTTCTAGTGCTATATATGTAGAGTCATAGAATC